CGTCTCCGTGAGTCAGCCGCTTCATATTTATGACAGTCGCAGTGTCCCGGGGGGGTGTGTGTCACGTGATCCCCTTTCGCAACCTTCTGACAAGCCAAGTCAATGGGGAAGCCGGATTCACTTAACGACCGTATGTCTAACTTAATGACTGCAGTGATTTGCTTAGCAACGGTGGGCCAAAAGGTCGTAAAAATGGGACAAAACTCTCGTTTAACAATATACGTTTGGGGCTCAATAGTCAAGGACTGCCGGTATATCCTAACCACAATCCCCAGCTTGCTGGGTCTAAGAAAAACTAGCCACTCTGGGGTTTGTTTGCCCAGCCAGGGGTCAGAAAAGCTGGATGGAGGCCGGTCTGGGTCTTGACCCCAGCCAGCTGGGCTAAACGTCACCCCACTTAGTGGCCAAGCCAGCCGGCTGAAGGAAGGCATGAGCGTCCTGGGAGCACTCTATCAAGCCGAAAGTCAAAGGCCGGGCTTTGGAGAGGCCACCATTGCTGGCCCATGCTGGTTTATTCAAGGCTTAGGAGCCCAAAGGACACAGGTGGGGTGCAGACCAGCGGGACGTCTGTGGGACCCCTGACCCTGCCTTCCTTTGAATCAAATACATGTCATCCTCAACTTACGACCCAACCTTTAGGTTGCTAAATGAGACATTTGTGAATTGGCGAGCTTTCCCCCGTTTTTACGAGCTTCCTTCCATCGTTCTTAAGTGAATCACTGCAGTCCTTAATAACATGGCTCTCCCCCTTGACTTGTGAGAAGGCCGCAAAACAGGCGATCCCATGACCCGGGGACACTGCCGCCGTCGTAAATATGAGTCGGTGTCCGAATTTCCGAGTACCTGGCCCTAGGATGCCGTGGCAGCTTTGAACGGTCACGAAATGAGCTGTTGCTAAATTGTGGACTGCCTGCGTAGGAAGGATGTGAAAGCAGCGCTCCTGAGCACGCACGGAGCGCCCACCGACCAGAGTTCAACAGCCAGCAAAGAGTTAGCAAGGACAAGGTCGCCCAAAAGGCCCCCTGCGCCTCTGCCTCGCCCGAGGGGGGCTCAGAGCAGCCCGACAGAGCCCTGGCCCCAGATATTCTGCCTGGGGGGCTGTGGGGGGGGGAGAGTGGAGAGGAAGCTCTTTGTCTCCTCGTTTTCCGCCCCAGCCGCCGGGACGTTACCAGACACAGCGCTGCCTGCTCCCAGCCATCTGCTGGGCCAGACACGGTGCTGCCCGCCACCCCGTCCTCGCCCTCGCGTGGATTGGGGACATGGCAGGGGGGGCAACCTGAGAGTATCCGGCCCGAAGGTGCCAGACTCTGAGCGGGCCACACCCCTGGGGTATCCCTTTCCCAGCCGGTGGAGTGGGTGGGCCTCCCTCCCTGGCCCTCTCTTCTGTCCGGTGCCCCCCCACGGGGGCGGTGCCCTCCTCCTCCTTTGTCTCGTGCCCGACTGCAGAGCCGAGAGCACCTGGCAGAGGGTCTTCCGCCAGCCCCTCCCGGCCTTGCCAGGACCTCGCCCGCCCGCCTGGGCCCCTTTGTCTACAGCCCAGGACTTTTGCACTGGAGCCAGGGGAGGGGCTGCTGGAAGGCGGGGGGGGGGGGAGGGGGGGGAGAGAGCCGGTTGAAAGCTCCATGGCAACCCCTGGTGCAGCAGGAGGACCTAATTGGCACACTAATTGCCCCGTTAGCCAGCTCCCCCCCCCCCAGCGAGAGATGGCCCAAATTCGCCAGCCCTCTGCTGCTGGACCACCGGACCCGGGCTGTGGGGGGTCCCAGTTCCCAAGGAGCACGGAGGTGGGGGGGGAGGACCACAGCGAAAGAAAGCCCCCCCCCCAAACCCCCGAGAAGAAGTCAAAGGGGCAGAGCTTAGCATTGGCAAGGAAAGACGCTGCCGCCCGCCTCCATCTTCCCTGCCACCGCTGGTGCACCCAAGCCCAGAGATACAGCCAGCTGGGATGGACTGCAACGTCCATCGTTCCCAGCCAGGACCTTACGCAGTTTTTTGCTTCTCTTTTTTAAGGAGGAAGCCATCGGGCAGCTGGGGCAGGACGGAAGGGGACTTGTCCTGGGCACGGGAAAGGGGGTAGGGGGGGAGGCTGGTCGAGGGAGGGAGGGGGGAGACAAGGCGCTCCAATTCACCCCCCCAGCCCCCTCCCCAATCAGCAGGAGGAGGAAGAGTTTCCCCCCCCCAGGGGCTGCCCAGAGGCTGCTGGCTGGTTTGGGCGTCCTTAAAAGGCTGACCTTGGGGCCTGAACCGAGACCTGCCCCCCCCCCCACCAGGCACACCTCCACCGAGCAATGAGACCCATATTGCTCCCTCCCACATCTACTTTTTTTTTTTCTCAACCCCAGGCAAATTGAGGAAGTGGAAGGGAATCCTCCAAAGGGGGGGGGGAAACGGAGGGGGGACACTCCATCAGTTATCTCCACAAATTATTTCTGAAATGCATGCAAATCCATGGATACCGGGAGAGGAGAAGCCATGTGGGCAGCTGAAAAACTGGTCAGGTGGGTTTAGGAGCAAAAAAACAAAAAACGGTGCAGATGGCAAGGATAGCAGTGGGGGGGAGAAGGGGGGGGCGGGGAGGCAAGGCTAGCAGTGGGGGGGGTATGGGGGGGCAGGGAGGCAATTTCCTTCTCCTCCTGCAGTTCTCTCTCTCTCTCTCTCTCTCTCTCTCTCTCTCTCTCTCTCTCTCTCTCTCTCTCTCTCTGTGTATCTCTCTCCCACTTTCCCAGGAGTGCCAGACAATCAAGGCTGAACAAACTAGATCAGCTGTTTTCACATGACCTGCATCCCATCTCTCGGCCCGCCCCGGCACTTGGGGACACAGGCAACTCCCGGGTTTCAGACGGTTGTGTGAAGACAGCCCCCCCAGAGCGGATCAGACTTTGCGAAAACTGGGCAGCAAGAGAGGGAATGGGGGTCTCTCTTCCTGCCCTCTCTCCCCCACCCCCCCCCCATGCCCACACTGCTGGTGGGTCGGTTGCGTCCTCCTCCCGCCCCCCTTTCAAGAGCCAGGTCGTCCTAGATAGCATGCAGGGTGCAGAAAAGAGTCTGCCCCGTTGCACAATCACCCCAACAAGTGCAGGGAAGCATCCTGGTTTTTCTTTGTCACCGCCCGGCTGGCACTTTTGGGGTACTGCCCACCCAGCCGTATACAAAAAGGTCAGAATGCCTGTCTGTGTGTGTGTGTCCCCCCACATCTGGGTTTGCACATCTGCAGCAGCTAAGTGGAAAATACACATCGGATGGAGTTCACCGTGGGCTTCAAAGCAACCCTGGCTGTAATATGCAGGCTGCCCCCCCCCCTTGCAGGAAGCAACCAGACTCAGCAAAACTCAGCACAAAAGGCTCGCGACCCTCCCACCCCCCCCCTCCACCCCCAATGGGATAGCAGCCAGCCAGCCAGGCTGCCCGGACCCATATGCCACTCCTGGACTAGGGCACTACCACCCTGCCTCCCGCCCTTGGGAAGCCCCTCTCCCTGCCCCCTCCCCAGCAGCTGGGGGGGGGGAGTCTCAGCCTGGATGGGGGGAGGAGGCGGTCGGGTCCCCCATCCCACCCCACCGCTCGCTCCTCTTCCTCCTCCTCCCTCCGGCGCTTGGCTGAGCCCCTTCGCTTCCGCGTGCAGGCTTCGCCCTGCCAACCAGCGGGCAGCGGTGGCAGCGCTTAAGCGGCTGGGTGCCTCCTTCCCGGGCGGAGGGAGGGAGGCAGGCAGGCAGGCGCAAGGGCGCGCACACGCAGCCTCGCGCGCGCACACACCCACAAGCACGCGCGCGCGCCCCTGCACAACCACACACACACACACAGACACACAAGTGCACTTTTCCGGCAAGGCCAGCTCCTCCGAGCGATTGTCTGCCAAGCGCCCAATCTCCCGGGCAGATGGTGCAAGGGACGGGCGGGGATGAAGCAGCCAGCCAGCCGCCCCCACCCAGCCCGACCGGGTGCCAAACCCCACCCTGGCACAGCCGGCAGGGGGGAGGCGGCTGGGGACGGGGGGGGACGCTGGAGGGGACCGGGGCGGGCGTGGGGAAGAGCCGCGGGGCAAGCGGGAGACCCCCCCGCCCCTCGCCCGCCCGCCCCGCAGAAAGTTGACCCGCGCGGGAGGGAACAATGACGCCGCTGCTCGGCCGGCGACTCCTGCCCGGGCCGGCTGGGGAGGGAGAGGAGGAGGGAGGGAGGGAGGGAGGGACGGCCCGGCCCGGCCCGGCTCGGCTCGGAGGGGTGTGGAGGCGGCTCGGAGGCGGCGCGGCGTCCCCCGGGCAGGCGCGGAACAATGAGCTGCTGCTCCCTGCGGGCGCTCCGGCTCCGCTGCCAGCAGGGACAGGCTGGGGCTGCCCGGGCCGGGCCGGCGCCAACCTGCAACCTGCGCCCGGCCGGTGCGCTCGGGCCCCGCGGTGGAGCAAGAGGAGGAGGAGGAGCGGTGCCCCCAGCGTTGCCCTTGGCCGCCGCGGTCTCGGCCCAGGGTGGGCGGCGGGCAGGGGGCGGGGCGCCCTCCTCCCCCCTCCCCTGCTCCCCTCCCTCCCCTCCCCAGCAGGCAGTCGGAGGCGAGGGGGCCAGCCAGCCCCGCAGGACCAGCAGGAGGCGGGCTGCTACACGTCCCGGGCCGGGGGGCAATTGGGGAGGGGCGGGGGCGTCTGGCACAGACCGCCAGGTAGAGCAGCCGGCCGCCGCCGCCCCGCCCCTGAGCTCAAGGCAGCGGGACGGGGGCGCAGCAGCCGGGACAGGAGGGGAGGGGGCGTCCCGGCAGGGGCTGACCCTCTCCCCGCCGCGCCCCCCAACCAAGACCCCCCCAGAGCGGGCAGCGGGGCGCCTCCTGCCCGGTGCAAAAAGCAGCAGCGGCGGAGACCCCTCCGGCTGTCCCCTTCCCCCCCCCGCCCGCCCCGTCCGCCCGGGCTGTCCCCCCCCCGGGCATCCCCTCCGCCCTCCCGCCCCGCCCCCCCGGGCAATGCGGGACACACACCCAGCCCGGCCCGTTGCGCCGCCCGCCCGCGCGCCGCACTCACCGTCCCCGTCTTGACCGGCACGTAGACCACCCCGGGTCCCATCTTCGCGGCCGGCGGCTCGCGGGGGCCGTTGCCCAGGCGGAAGCCCTTGGAGCGCACCCAGAACTGGAACTTGCCTTTCTCCCCGCCGCTGCCGCCGCCGCCGCCGTTGCCGCCGCCGCCGCCCCCTTGCAGGACCTCGGCGATGCGCTGGTACTTGCTCCGGGTCACCGTCTTGGTCTTGGCCGAGTCGCCGTAGGTGCGCAGGCACCAGTCCCGGAACTGCCGGCCCAGCTCGCTGTCCCCGGGGCGGTTCCCGCCCGCCGAGCGCAGCAGCGGCGGAGGCGCCGGCGGCGGCGGAGGCGGCTTGGGCATGGCGGGCGAGCCGAGGGAGTCCTGTCCCGGCCGGGCGAGCGAGCGCTGCTGCGCCCTGCCTGGCGCGGCGGAGGCGGGGAGGAGGAGGAGGAGGCGGCGGAGGAGGAGTCCGGCTGGCGCGGGGGGCAGCTTCTCCTCCTCGGCTGCTGCTGCTGCTCCCGGCCCGGCGGGACCAGGCGAGGCTGGCCGGGCTGCGGCGCTGGGGGGACGGTCCGGCGGTTGGGCTGGAGCCTCCTCCGGCCGTCGCTGTGCTCGCCGCCCGCCTCCTCCGCCCCCTCGCCTCGGGATCCCACCTGTTAGAGCCGCGCCGCCGCGCCTCCCCGCCTCGTCTCGCCCGGGGCGCAGCGCGCAAGGACGGGCGGGCGGGCGGGCGGGCGGCCGGCGCTGGGGGCCCGTCCTCCTCGAGGGACGGGGCGGGGCGGCCGGACGAGGGGCGGGCGGTCGGGCGAGGAGCAGCAGCAGCAGCAGCAGCAGCGCCGGCCTGGGACAAGCGCGCCGGTCCGCCGAGCTGTTGCCGCCCCCGGGCAGACGGACCGGGAGCGCGCCCCCCCCCCGCCGCCGCCGCCGGCTGGAAGGAGCCGCTGACAAAGCGCTGCGGCGGGACCGGCCGGCGGAGGCCGGCGGGGGCGCCCGCGGGAAGGCTGGGATGGGCCGGGCCGGGAGAAGCCGGAGGTGCCTCGCGGGACAACCGCTGCCCTGCCCGGCCGGGGCTCCGCTGGGCGCGCCTGCTTGCCTGCCGACCGCGTTGCTGCTGCTGCTGCTGTTGCTGCGCCCGCCTGGAAGCTTCTGGGCTGGGAAGCGGCGCCGAGGCCCCAGGCCGAGCCAAAGCCACGTGCGGACGGCCGCTGGGCCGGCCTCGCCCCGCAGCCCTGGCCCGCGCGGGGAGGAAGCGGGGCAGGGACGTTTCCCGGCGCGGCGCTCTCTCTCGTCCCGGAGAGGAGCCTCCAACGGCTTTTTGGGCCTTTCCTGCCGGCTGGGGAAGATGGGGGCTGTAGTGCGCCTCTCCGGAAGACTCGGGGAGGGCTGACGCACCGCGTGGGCCGGGGAGGATGGGAGTGTAGTCCGCCTCTCCGGAAGACCCCAGGGCTGGAGAAGGAGGGATGCACCGCGTGGTCTTGAGTCCCTTCCCCTCCCCCCCCCCCGCCGTGCTGGCAGGGGATTATGGGCATCGTTTGGAACTGGGACACCTTGCTGACCTCCGCATAAGTGCAAATCTGGAGGGGTCCCTCTGGGAGGGGGGGTTGAGTCTTTGCCCCCACCACCACAGTGCCATGAATACGGAAAAAAAAAATCCACTTTTGAGAATTTTGCACCTGGGTGCAATCCCTGATCTGTTTTAGCAACTCACAGCTGCCTGCAAAGCCTCCCTAATCCAGGCTTGGCTATCTGGGCAACCTGGGCCTGGCTTGGCTCAACCAAGGCAGCCAAACTACCAGGCAGGCTGGACTTCAGCCTGCCCTGCCCTGGTTCCTGTCCCCTTCCTTGCAAAGCAGGAAAGGCCACGCAGCTTCTGGCTGAAACAGCCGGCTGCCTGCTCCAGATTGCCTCAGGTCCTGGGGCTTCCTCCAAGAAGGAGAGAAGTAGCAGCCCAGGAAAGGCCGCAAGTTTGCCCCTTGGATGCCCTGGGGCTATTCACACAACATGCTGGACCAGGGTCACCTGTACAAAGCCTGGCGGGTGCTTCAGACCAGGTGCTAAACTCGCCCTGCGTTAAGCTTGCACAACCTTTCCAGGGTCTGGCCTATTCAAGTGAAAGTAACCACGACCGTTTCACACACATTGGGCAAATGGCTAATAAAACACGGTTGAATATATTGTGTGAACGCGGTTTGTATTTTATTTTTTTACAAATTCTACCTTTTCTTTGCGGTGGGGGAAGGATAGTCACTCTTTTTTCACACACCTGAATGGTGTAGGGTTTCCTGCCTGAGCAGGGGGTTGGACTCGATGACCTCCAAGGTCCCTTCCAACTTTATTATTATTATTAATTAAAAAAAAAACAAAACAACAAACCAGAATTCGTGAAATGCACACACCCAATAAATAATCTGCATATCGGTCGGGCACAAATGAGCATGTGGGAATGTGCACAAAAAGCAGGAATGGGTTCCAAGCAGTCCTCGACTTAACGACCACAAGGGAGCCCAAAATTTCCGTTGCTAAGTGAGACGTGAGTTTTGCCCCGTTTTACGACTTTTCGCGCCACATTTGTTAAATGAATCACAGAAGATGTTAAGTTAGGAATTCGGTTGTTAAATGAATCGGATTTTTCCCATTGACCTTGCCGGTTGAAAGATTGCAAAAGGGGACCACGTGACCCGGGGGGGACACCGCGATGGTCATAAGTGTGAGTCAGGCGCCAAGTGTCCAAATTTCAAATCACATGACCCTGGGGGAATGCTACGACGGTCATAAGTGTGAAAAATGGCCATAAGTCACTTTTTTCAGTGCCGTAACTTACGTCACTAAGTGAACTGTTGTAAAATGAGGACTATCTATCCCAACTATTAGCATGGTTGTTTCTGGCTTTTTTTCCTCTGTTCCCCCCCCTCCCTTTCCAGTCAAAATACCACACAACACTGCAGGTTGTGCAATTGCCAAATTGTTCAAGTGTCCCACAAGCACGCTTGGTTTTTTTTCAACATGACACAAAATTGTTGGTTCACACAACTTATCTAATGCTTAACTTGGATCCGTACCTCTGGAAATAAAAATAGTCCTCGACTTAACGACCACAAACGGAAGCGGAATTTCCATTGTCAAGCAAGACAGTTGTTATGCAGGTCACGTTTTGTTGATTGCAAGAAGCCAGCTTGGAAGGACCCTAAGCAGTTGTTGAGTGAGTTCTGCCCCATTTTACGACTTTTCTTACCACCGTTGTTAAGTGAATCATCGTGGTTGTTAAGTCAGCAACACGGTTGTTAAGTGAATCTGGCTTCACTTAAGGTCACAAAAGGGGATCCCGGGATGCTGCAACCATCATAAATACGAGTCAGGTGCCAAGTACCCAAATGCTGATCACGTAACCGTGGGGACATTGCAACGGTCGTAAGTATGAAACCTGGTCCTCGGTCACTTTTTTCAGTGTTGTTGTGACTGAACGGTCATTAAATGAACGAGGACTTCCTGCAATCAACTCACTGCGGGATGCTCGAAGACATACAGGCTGTTGTGTCAAGTCAGGATGGCCTAAACCAGACTATAAGCAGTATCTTGGTTTATACAAGAGGGAGACATAACTCAACTATCCAACCCTGTTTTAGCCCAGCGGATGGTGTTGTTTGAATCCAGGTCTGGTTTGAGTGTCCTAGCTAGTTTTCCAGCTTGGATCGACCGACATGGATGGCCCATCATCAGATTGTGGTCAAGTCTTTTTCAGAGTCTGGGGTCTCTTGGGACCACATCACCCAAATTTAGAACAAATTTAAAACAAAGGTACAGATAGTTCTCCTGCTTGAGCAAGGGGCTGGACTAGAAGACCTCCAAGGTCCCTTTCAGCTTCTATTCTATTCTATTCTAAATCTTTTCTGTTCTGTTCTGTTCTAGTCTAGTCTAGTCTAGTCTAGACTATTCTATTCATCCCCATGAATCTAATCAATAAATCAATAAATGTCTTTCATCTACTCAAAAATGGGATCTGAATGGGAATAAGCCAAGGAACTTTCTCTGTTGATCTGATTGGCTAGGCCAGTCTCATCCTTAAAGAGGGGTAGTCTTCATAGCTGGTTGGGGAATTCTGGGAGTTGAAATCCACCTGTTTTTGAGCTGACAAGGGTTAAGAAACAGCAGGCGAGGTTCCGACATTAATGTAAACCTGGATTTGGGGTCCCATTCCCAATTCTCACAGGGATCCCAGAGGACACCCTGGTCAATGGTTCCAGACACAAACATGCACCCCTTGTGAGATCTACAAGATCTAGAAAGCTGGAAGAGATCCTGTGGTCATCTACTCGAATCGTATTTCTCCACCTCTGGGACTTTAAGATGGATGGACTTCAACACCCAGAATTCCCCAGCCAGCTTGAAGTCCACCCATTCTTAAAGGGCCAGAGGTTGAGAAACGACTGAACGAGAACCACCCATGGGCTTTGATGTGCCACGTCCGGGCTTCAACCTTGATGGAAGGCGGTCCAGGTAACAAACAGTCCTTGACTTAACCACAGTTTGTTTAGTGACTGCTCCAAGTTACAACGGCACTGAAAAATGTGACCGTTTTTCACAGTTACGACCTTTACAGCCTCCCCATGGTCTCACGTGATCAAAATTCAGATGCTTGGCAACCGACTCGTATTTACGACGGCCGAAGCGTCCCAGGATCACGTGATCCCTTTTTATGACCTTCTGACGAGCAAAGTCAACGGGGGAAGCCGGATTCACTTCACAACTGGGTTACTAAGTGAACAACTGCAGTGATTTACTTAATATCTGTGTCAAGAAAGCAGGTAAAATGGAGCACTTAACAAACGTCTCACTGAACGACAGAAATTCTGGGCTCCCTTGTAGTCGTACGTCAAGGAGTATCTGTTCTGCATAGGATACTGCATTTATTGCCCTATAGCCTTCCTCCAAAATGTATGCTTGGAGACTAGGCAATAGGGTGAACCACATGGTAATAAATAATAATAATAATAATAACAATCATAATAATGATGGTGATGATGTTGTTGATGATGATGATCATCATCATCTTCATCAATGATTTGGACGAGGGGATAGATGGGGAAATCATCAAATTTGCAGGCGACACCAAGCTGGCAGGAATAGCCAACACTCCCGAAGACAGGCTTAGGATACAGGAGGATCTGGACAGACTTGAACATTGGGCGCAATCTAACAAAATGAAATTTAACGGTGAAAAAAGTAAGGTTCTACATTTAGGCAAGAAAAAACAAATGTGCAGGTATAGTATAGGGGGTACCTTGCTCAATAGTAGTAACTGTGAGAGGGACCTCGGAGTCCTAGTGGACAATCCCTTAAATAGGAGCCAGCCGTGTGCTGCAGCTGCCAAAAAGGCCGACACAGTGCTGGGCTGCATTAACAGAGGAATGGAATCAAGATCATGTGAAGTATTAATAACACTTTACAAAGCCTTGGTAAAGCCACACTTGGAATACCAGTTTTGGTCACCACAATGTAAAAAAGATGCTGAGACTCTAGAAAGAGTACAGAGAAGAGCAACAAAAATGATTAGGGGACTGGAGGCGAAAACACCTGAAGGAACGGTTGCTGGAATTGGGGATGTCCAGTTTAACAAAGAGAAGGACGAGGGGGAACATGATGGTGGGGTTCCAATATCTCAGGGATTGCCCCAAAGAAGAGGGAGTCAAGCTATTT